TATATATATATGGCCTTCTCACAATAAGGGTCAACAGCATTGTGGAAGTAAAAGAGCATTATGCAAAAACACATACGCGCGCCGCCGCCGCCGCCGTCGCCGGGCTCGTGCTCGTTGCTCGTTGCATTTTTTAGTTGGCTCTTAGGGCTCTTGGGCTCTATATAGCTGGGTGTGGGTCGTGGGCTTCTTAGTTCCTGCGAAATATTTTTTGCATATTGAAAGGATAAATCTTAGGAAATAAAAGATTGCGTCCAGATAATAACGGAAGATTTTCGAATTCCTTTTACTTGCAGAAAAAGGAGAATATTTCGTGAATATTCCTTTTTCGCCAAAGCTTATTCCTTGCGGATCAAGCTGAACTTTCCAGTATAAATAGACGCCCTCTTCTCTCATTCTACATCATCGAATCATAATCGAATTCTCGAATACACCAAACACACAGCAAATAATTCTTTCCAGCAAATTCCTCTCGTCTTAATATCGTAAGTGTCTCGAGAGCTATAGCGTAGTATTTAGTTCGCAGATTCTATTACGGGTGTTGCGTAATAGTCTCATCACGGTTGTATCTTGGGATTCAAAAATCGCAACAAACTGTCACACATTACGGACAATTTATTGAGTTAAGGAAAGAGATCATATCTTGACTCCGTGTTTTCGTCTGTTTTCAATTGGTTTTCTAACTCTCGTTTTAATCTCTTACCTTAACATATCGTTTATAATATTGCTATTTTCTATTCGTGATTTCAATCGGATTTTCGCGGTCCTACATTTAAAAAAAAAAAAAAAAAATCTATGTTATTTGTGATTAGCTGGTAAAAGGGCTGTTTTTCGAATCTAAAACATCCGAAAAACACTAAGTATAAGCCATGTAGGATAATTTACATCCCGACAGAATTCTGATCAATTAATTATGTCTGTCAAAAATTTATCAGAAATTTTCGACGAATTTCCAACCATTTAGGATAAAGAATTTTAATTGAAGTTTTTTTAACAATGTACGATTAACAAGTTTATAAGGTATTTAATGTATAACAGAAAACTTAATGAATCAACATGAACCAACATATATCGTGTTTTACATAAATCAGCTTGACAACGAGCTTAATATTTTATAAACAAACATACAGTAGTTCTTATACTTAAAGACTTTCGGATTTTTCATAGGGTATAAGAAATTAGATAGTTTTGGAGTTTTTTTCTATATTTTAATAACTTTGGTACCATCATTTTTAACCCTAAGTAGTGTATGCATTTGAAAATTTTTTGCAACTTGAGGTTTCAAAACCTTAAACGGGTCAGAAATCTGACAGGAATTCCGCAGAGATTTCCAATAAATCTAAAATCAAATGTTATAAATCAATTTCAAAACATTTATTAAATGTATGTAAAATAATTCTGTTGTCGTCAGGAAGCGGCATGATTTCTAACGATTTTTCTGTCTCCAGATCACCTAAAGTTGGTCGAGAAACCATTGGGAATCCTGACATATTCTCGGGGACAGCGGGTTTTTTTAGTTATAATATTAAGCTAATTTCAGGGAAGACATGAAGAATTTGATTTCAGGAAACACATTAGCAAAAATACATACAATAAATACGTTAACAACTAAAAAAGAGAATTATATATGTAACTCTCACATTCCAAAACATCATTACAGTTTGTTAAAATATAACAATTCTACGGGTGAACCTCTTTACTCATCCCCTTGTTTTCTGACCAATAAAAAAATACCACCTGATTTAAAATAAAAATCAATATTATCTCAATCAAATAATTAAGGTAAGTTGATATTTTTATCACAAAAAATTAATAATTTAATATATTTCAAATAAAAAATCGAACTAATCATTAAAATAATTCTTTTATTTACTCCTTCTTATTTTAACCAATGAAAATAATCCAAATAATTAAATTAATTAAGATAATTTGTCAAAATAACACATTTTAAAAAAAAATTCTAATGGAGGAAAACTAAACCCTAAATTGAAAATAGTGAACCCAAACATAATATTAAATTTATTTATAATTTATTTTTGATAAACAGATTTTTTACATAATAATTTTTACTGAAGGTAATTTATCAAAATAGTACATTTTAAATTTTCTTTTCTAATGGGGGAAAACTAAACCCTAAATTAGAAATAGTGAACCCAAACATAATATTAAACCCTAAACATTAATCCGTAAACCCTAAATTCTAATTTGGTAACCCTAAACATAAAAATATATATCTTTTATTAGAATTTAGGGTTTAGGGATTAATGTTTAGGGTTTAGTTTTTATTTCTAATATTTTTTAAGTTTACAGATTAGAGTTTAGAGATTTAGATTTAGTTTAGGTGGTTTAGGCGTTTACAAAATAAATCACTATGTTATATATATTTTTATAGAGTGAAACATATGAAATACTATGGTTAGTCATAAATAACAAAATTTTAATATTATAAAAAAAAATAGATTGAAAGTATAAGTTACACACAAAAACCAAAATACATCTGATAAATATCAAATTTAAAACATTAAAAAATATCATATATTCGAATTAAACAAAAAAACATTAGTTTGAAGATAAAAAATATTAAGTCATAAATAAAAACTAGAAAAAACATGCATTATGTATTTCTATGATAACAAAAGGGAAAAAAGTTTAAAAAAATCCTCAATTATTTAATATTTGTCAGTTTCCCACCTAACTATTTGCATTGCCAGAAAAATATAGATCTAATTTTTTTGTCCGAAAGAAAACCCAACATTGTTTTAAATTCTATTTTACTACCCACAGTTTAACAGCTGTTAACGAGACTAACAAAATCGTTTAACTGTGTTAATCTTCCGTTACACGTGCTAATTAATCGGGGAAAGCGGCCGATTCGTGTCTTAACTGCACCTTCTGGTACCGATTAGTGTCTGTACTTTGTTGTTGTGCCTACACATCCCCGAACTATGCAAAATGTGAATATTCATACCTGAACTCAAATTTTTTGGCCGAATCATGCATTGACTCTTAACCCGTTAGTCAACTGCGTCAAATTGTTAACGGATCTGACTCATATACCACGCTGGAATCTCCATTGGAACAAGAATATGATACTACGTCGTTTTGAATAATTAAAAAAAAACAAAAAAACTTGCAGCCTCCAAGAATCGAACCCTGAACCATTCCCATTTAACTAAGCCCAGAAACCAGTAGACCAAATGTATTAATTGATAATCTACTGCACGCTTAAACAATTTAAACGATCCCACACCACTTATTGATTATTCATCTTCTTCATCGAGGTCTGTGTTAATATGAGAGCTATTTTTTCCAAAACCAAAATCAGACACTTTGCTCGCATTCGTCGACGTATAATCAGATCTGAGGATTAATCTCGTCTTCGTTTTCTAGTGGGAAAAAATAATCGGATTTGGGTTGAGGGAAACAAAGCCGGAGGTATAAATCAAGGAATCCTCCATGGATGATGGCGCTCTAAACCAACTCTTCTGCCGCTGATTTCACAGTTTTGCTTCTTCCTACAGCTTTGCGAACGATTCATCAAAGAAGAAGTCTGATTCGTTGGTATTGGACGATCTGAGTCGCGATGGTGATATCTTCGCAATGTATTATTTTTTTTTAATAATGGGTGTACGATTGTTTATATTGTTTAAGCGTGCAACAGATAATTGATTAGTACATTTGGTCAATGAGAGTAGTTCAGGGTTCGATTCCTGGAAGCTGCAAATTTTTTTTTTTAGAATTATTCAAAACGACGTCGCATCATATTCTTGTTCCAACGGGGATTCCAGCATGGCATATGAGTCAGATCCGTTAACAATTTAACGGAGTTGACTAACGGAGTAAGAGTCAATGCATAAATCGGCCAAAAAAATTTGAGTTCAGGTATGAATATTCACATTTTGCATAGTTCGGGCATGTGTAGGCACAGCAACAAAGTACATGCACTAATCGGTACCAGAAGGTGCAGTTGAGGCACGAATCGGCCGCTTTCCCTAATTAATCGTTGTAGAATTACATTTTTATCCTCATAACAGCTTCAAAATCGATTTAGGGGAAGAGAATTAGAACCCTAATTTCATCTTCTCTTCAAATTTTCTCAGATTCGAAAAAGAAATGGAGAGAAGCCAAAGCTCAGGTTCTGTAGCAAGCAACGTGAATGTGCGATGGAGTTCTGTCTATAAATGTGGGAGGTCGAAAATCATTCTGAAATCATGGACAAACGAAAATCCGGGTAGAAGATTTAACAAATGTGAAGCTCACGGGTTCCTATCATGGGTCAATGAAGAAAAGCCGAATGGTTGGCAAAAATTTAGCTTACTGGAGGCGAGGGATGAGATTCATCGACAGAAAGAGGATGTCAAGGTACTGAAAAAGTCTTTAAAAACGTTTAATAACCAAATTATGAGTGGGACAGTAACAGTGAATCCGAAATCTGTTAATTCGGATTGTTGCATCGAAGAAGAGAAGAAAAAGCTTGAAGAGGAGAAGAAAAAGCTTGAAGAAGAGAAGAAAATGCTTGAAGAAAAAGTGATGGTATTCAAAGAGGGAAAAATTACTGCGTTAGTTCATGGTTATCTCTTGGGGAGGTTTCATTGTTGTTGTGGGCATGTTCCTTGCAATTAAAAAGCTGGAGTAGGTGTGATCTTGTTTGTTGCTATTGTTGTAGTTTGATCATGGATTGTGTTATTTTCTTGTGTTCTTTGTTGTGTTCTCTTCTTTGTAATATCATCTTTCTACTTATTAATCAGACTAGTTTCACAAGTTTTTCATAACAAAGTCTACAAGTTTCACATTCATGCCAAAAGTAGTTCAACAAGTTTGACATTCATACCAAAATTAGTTCAACAAGAGACAAATATCCAACCAAAATGCATTCCAAAAGTAGTTCAACAAGAGACAATATCCAACCAAAATGCATCCCTAAAGTCGAATAAACCAACACAACAATCCAAAAAACTTGAGAATGGTCCTCGATAGGTAAAACATAAGATCTCAGAATGGTTCTAAGGGTTGTCAGGGTGCCATACATCGAATACTTGGTTATTCCAAGGAGACATAAAACAGATTGGGGGTCTAGGAGAAGGAGGCTGGGATCCACGACCTCTGCCACCACCATTGTCATGAACCTTGTTACGACTACCCCGAGGATGACCACTGCCTCGTTTTGGTGCACTTGGACCAGCAACTGCAGGTGGAGCGGTTGCAGATGGATCATTTGGAGTAGATTGGCTTGCAGAAACAGTTGGTGTTGACTGACTTTGAGCTGCTTTATACCTTTTAGGTGCATTCTGGATACTCCATGGATCATCATTCTGTCACAAAATAAACCAAGCAACTCAAACACAACAAACAAGCAGTCCTGAATTATCAAGCAACTCAAAAAACAAGAAACAACCAAGAAACAAGCTCAGACATTACTCGATGCTTACCTCATCCTTTCAAGGTCTCCCTCTTTTCCGTTTAGGAGCTACTTCGACTGCTCCTGAGGTACAAGTACCTCTATTATGCCCAGTCCTGTGAAAATTAGAACATGTCACCGTTCTTCCATGCCGAATGACTTTATGAGGCTGAGATGATGACTTATGTGCCTCCAATATCCTAGCATACTTCTTTGGACGCTCTCTTGATTTCCTTTTGTCTGGTATTTGGATAGGTTCTTTTCCTGTCCTCTCCCACAACCTATCTCCATTCACTGGTGCGGTGTTGTCCATGTAGGTTGCTATCCAATTAGTTGTCAAGAAGTATTTATCTATGTAGCTGCAGCATAATATAGTAGAGTTAGTTCGATGTCACGAAAACAATTTAAAAATGAAAAGAACTTAAACATTTAAACTCACTCTTCTGGATCATGGTTGTTTTCAGTTATCACGTGAATGGCATGAGGACAAGGTATTCTTGTGATGTTCCACTGGTTAGAAGCACAATGCCTATATAAGAGATTCACAGTGAAGCTTCCACGGCCTTCGACAACCTCAAACAAGTTCTCACCACTTTTTATCACCGAGCATAACTTACTCATCTTACAGTTTGCCTCAAATATCTCCATTGCATGTGGTGCAAACCTTGTTATACACTTCCTTGCTTTCTCACCCCTTTTTGATATCCGCTTCATGGTCTGCCTCCTTATTTCCTCTAGCATGTCAATCACAGGCATCTTCCTTGCATCTTTGATTGTTCTGTTGAAGCTCTCTGATAAGTTGTTGCAAACATCCTCACAAGCAGCATGACTACTAAAGAAAGCTCTACACCAAGTCTTCGGTTCTGTTTTTTTCAAGTCTTCATGTGAAAATTTATCGTACTTCTCCAAAGCGGCCATGTTGTACCGATAATCTCCTTCAGACCCACTAAATACAATTGGCCAAAAATACTGCTCATGCTCATACTCACCATACACTTTCTTCCAGTTCGCAGAAATATGTCTAGCACAATGGCGGTGCTCTGCATTAGGTAAGACATCTGACACAGCATTAATCAACCTTTTTTGCATGTCCGAGATAATGGTAAACCCATTGCCGAAACCTAAATCCAAATCATCCTTCAACTTATCAACAAACCAACTCCATAATTCATTATCCTCCACTTTAACTATAGCCCAGGCTATGGGATAGATCCTATTATCCGCATCCTTTCCAACAGCTGCCAAAATCTCTCTTTTCAATTCCCATTTCAGAAATGCTCCATCGAGACCAATAATAGGCCGGCAAACCCTTTTCCATGTCTCTCTAAGCGGCTCAAAGCATACATAAAACTTATCAAACCTTTGCTTACCGTCATGTAGAGGAATGGTGGTAATCTCTGCATGTATCCTTTCATTAGACCGATGGAGTTCTTTCTGATAATCCCAGAGCATTGCAAACTGATCCTGCTGAGTTTCTATCACGAAATTCAAAGCAATTCTTCGTGCTTTCTGGCAAACCACTTCAAAACTGATAGAGTATACCGCAACATGATCGCATCCTTAATATCAGTCCACTTTAGCCCTGGTCTTCTTTTCGCTTCATTTTTGAATAACCTTCCTACAACTCCTTGCTTCAACATTCTAGCTTTCGAATTTTTGCCGTGGTTGTGCTTATCAACATAAGTCTTCACCATCCACTTATGTTTAGGCTTCTCAAAAGAGCAGTAAATTCTCCAATCACACTTCTCATTCGTGCAAATAGCTGCAAGCCTATTACGCTCCCATTTATCCAATATCACATCATAGTTTGTTTTCAAGACATACCGCAGAAGCTGATCTTTGAACTCTTCTCCATTATTAAACGTTTGCATTAACCACAGATAGGGAGGCTTCTCTTTCGAATATGTCTTTCTTGATCTGACTGTTTCCTCATGGTTGAAAGTTTCCCATTCTTCATTTGTATCTACTGCAAAAATCAGGATGCTCAGGATCCACACATTGTCTCTCAAATTAATCCTCATCTATGTCATCACCAGCCACAGCTTCACCATCAGTACCATTCATGTCAGCATTATTTACCTCTACTGCAACCTCAGTATTCCCAGAACGCATTTCTTGCTGTCGGATTTCCTCCATAAAAGCCACCACTCTAGCATTACCAGATTTTTCCTCTACAGGATCTTCACCTACATCGACTGCTTCATCTGGTTAATCACCACCATCAGAATCTTCACTACTAGATTCTTCACCATCAGCTTCTTGTTGTTTATATTCACCATCAGCTTTTTCTTGTTTATCTTCACCATCAACTTCTTCTTGTTTATCTTCACCAGAATCTCATCCCTCGCCTCCATTAAGCTAACTTTTTGCCAACCATTCGGCTTTTCTTCATTGACCCACAATAGGAACTCATGAGCTTCACATTTGTTAAATCTCTACCCGGATTTTCGTTTGTCCATGATTTCAGAATGATTGTCGACCTCCCACATTTACAGACAGAACCCCATCGCGCATTCACGTTGCCTGCTACAGAACCTGAGCTTTGGCTTCTCTCTATTTCTTTTTAAAATCTGAGAAACATTGAAGAGAAGATGAAATTAGGGTTCTAATTCTCTTCCCCTAAATTGATTTTGAAGCTGTTATGAGGATAAAAATGTAATTCTACAACGATTAATTAGCACGTGTAATAGAAGATTAACGCAGTTAAACGATTTCGTTAGTCTTGTTAACAGTTGTTAAACCGTGGGCAGTAAAATAGAATTTAAAACAATGTTGGGTTTTCTTTCGGACCAAAAAATTAGTTCATATGTTTTTCTGGCAACGCTAATAGTTCAGGTGGGAAACTAGCAAATATTAAATAATTGAGGGTTTTTTAAGTTTTTTTCCCAAAATAAAACTTATAAATCTAATTATATGTAGCTGAAAATTCCAAAACAGCACCCAAAAATGTTAAATGATTAAGATTTTAATCAACTGCCTAGAGCCATCTAAGACCGCCTACAGCCACCTAAGACCGCCTAGGCAGCCGTCTAGACCGCTTAATAAGAACGACTTTTAATGCTAACACCTAAGAGAGATAATCATCATGGTTTGTTGATGCCTAGAATGCTTTTTAAAACACTGAAAGGATACATTCATCGATATATAACTGGCCCACCAAATGCTGCTACTCCAGGAAAATAAATTGGAAGATATTCTATAACATAAAATATAGTTGATGGAAATATTTTTTTAAGATTGCAATGGATAACCGGTATTTGCTATTCCAAAAACTCGAATATGATCAACTGTAAGTGATCAAATACATAAATCTTGGAATAAGGCACCAATTCTTCCATAATTGACAAAAGAAAAGTAAAAATTAAGTAAAAAATATTTGTAAATGTATCTATAATAGCTCTGTATGTGGACGTTTTAAATAGAAGACTAGCAAATGCAAATGGAAGGAGGTGTTGCATGAAAATGTGACAATAATGACTCTTCACCCCACAAAACTTTCATTCTCCAATATCAATATAATTACAAAGGTTAGATGCATATCCATCTGATAATTTTATATTCGAAGAACTCCTCCTTTGAAGGTGCATCTAACGGGGAAGTGATTTTCCGTTTGCCGTTCCATGGAGGTCTTTCTGAAAACAAAAATCTGGCAAGCCTAATCTGGACTTTTAGATTATCTTTCATCTTCTCTTTCACATTTAGAACAGTGTTCATGATGATGTCAATTTGTTTTTTTTTTTTTAAATATGCATGAAATCCAGATTATGGCGTAATAGATGGTTCTTCCAGTATGGCAAATACCAAAACAACTATTTTTGTGCCGATTGTGGTACTCTCCACAACCATCAATGAGATAATTAATGGTCATTACCACCACATGAAACCGTCTTCTCAACACCGAAATTACTCAACTGAGTCATAATTTATCTATTTCTTTGGGGTGAACATATGTATGTCAGAATAAATATCATAGATTTATCTATTTCTTTTACTAAGAATAAAATTGTCTGAAAAGCGTGCCAAATATTACGCGACTAATTTTCATCAAATCCATAGCTATTCTTCACAAGTTTTTGAGCTAATTATCCCTAACTTGAAAAATAAGCCGCATTTTTTGTTTTTCTGAAGTTGATCATCTTAAAGTTTATTTTTATTGATGTCTTTTGAACAAACATTCTTGGTATTTAGCTTTTCAACAAATTTTCCTAGAAGACTCATGTTCTTGTCAAAGCCTCTTCCATGTTCTTAGCGATTACTCCAAGTGCTTTCTCATACTTCTTCACCAAATCATCTAGAGACCACCCTCCAACGGGATCAACGGTGAAACCCCATTCAATCACGCAACCTTCAGCGTCTCCACTATCGTCACGTGGCAATATTTGCACCGTTGAGACGTAAGACTCGAATCCAATGTTACTTTCCACTATCTCGTATGTCAACAAACGCTCCACTGGATCGACGGCCACCAGCTTCTCCTTAGACCATCCCACGGTGGATTCTACGCCGATGGACCGTATAGAGGAGCCGGAGCAGAATCTGATGCAGCCGAGTTCACCGTTGATGCCGTGGACGCCGTGACACGTGGTGACCGTTGGAAGCCATTTATGGAAGTTAAAGAAATCGGTGAAGAAAGGCCAGATTTCGTTGGGCTTTGCTTTTTTGAGCGTAACTGACACTTTGGCTTGCCATTTTTCTGGGTTTGAAGCTTTATCCATGTTAAAGAGAGAATCGGTAACAAAACAAACAAAAAAAAAGAGAGTAAATATGAAAACAAGATATTGTGTAATATTATGATATTATATTTATGCAATAATCTCGTATGTGAACAATTCGTGTTTATGGGAAGTGTACTAACAATTGGAGAGTGAAATTTTATAGTAAAGGTTCTTCTCATGAGTAAAAGATATGAAGAATTTATGCTCTTAGCTTTTGATTTTGATAATATCCATGTCTTTAGCAATTGTAACTGTTATTCCTTTTTGGGAATATAAAAGATATAATGTCATAAATGGTGTTTTATTTGGTGGAAAATATAACTACATAGTAATGTACTTTGCACTTTTTAAAAAAACTTACTAATACAAATCCAATGAAAAAGGCATTTTGTGATTTTTTCTAAATGATAAAATCCAAGCAATTAGTTTAGATTCCATAACATTTGAATAAGAAGAATCATTTGTATTAGACTTATTGAATCGATATAGTTGAAAGTTTATTTATATATAACTTACGATAGCAATTCTTTCAATTTATGGATTTAATAAAATTTTCTTAAGAAAAATAACTAAACAACACTACAGAAATAATTACCTTAAAACTCAAAAGAAAAACAATTAGCGTGAGAAAAAAAAACAAAAATCAATCGTCTTTTATGATTAAACAAAATATGAAAGAAATAAAAATTGATCTCGTCATCTCAATTCCACAATTGCCTATCTATTGATGATACAAATCAGTCACTCTCATGATATCATCACTAGAGTTTTTAAGAGTTTTCTTAGGTGGTATTAGTTGGTAAATAACATCAAATTGTTTGCAGTATACTTTTTGTTGATGCCGTGGACCTAGTGAGACATGTAGCGATTGAGAAATTGTGAAGAAGGGGCCAAATTTGATTAGATTTTTACCTTCATGAGCATAACTTACACTTTACCTTGCCATTTTTCTAAGCTTGAAGTTTACTCCATGTGAAAGAGAGAATATAATAAGATAGAAGGTAATTGAAATTTAAGATCTGATGCTATGATGCCAAATGCCAATACAGTGAAAAAATATGGACGCTTTTAATCTCTTAATATTGATACGTTTGCCAACTGTTATTATTTGAAATATAAATTATATGAAGTGGTACCAGTGGAATTCTTGACATTATAGCAATTTTTTAATTTTTTTAGGGAGGAATTTTTTAAAAATGACCTAAAATTTCATTTGAAATGCAAAAATAAACTTCTTATTCAACTAAAGCAAAAATAATCCAAATGGATAGCAAAATTACAATAACATTTTGTATATAAAAAAAAACCGAAGTCTCGGTTATAATTTTTTGAAGTCTATTGCATGCTATAGAAAAGTTTGTTTGTAGACTTCATCTGAAGTATACTTTGTAGCTAAATCTAAAATTTAATTTTTAAAAATAAAAAAATAATTTGGTTTCTAATTTTTATTCATAAATTAAATATGAACAGTTTTGATGTATATGTATTATTGTTTTCATATTTATAAGTTTTGAGTTATGGTTTTTAGTATTGAGTGTAAAATTTTCTATTTAGGGCTTAGAGTTAGCATACGAAATCTGCAAAATCGAATAAATTATCTTAATTGAGATTTAAACTAAAATAAAACCAACAAATGTAAGAGGTAACATGAAGTCTGCTAAACCGAGAAAAGTTACCATAACCAAAAAAACTTCTCGTAACTGATAAAACTATCTAAAAAAATATGTTAACCGTAATAAAACCAATAATATTTACCAAACTGAAAAAAATTCCCCTAATCGATAAATAGTACCGACATCTATAAAGGATTTTACTCTACAAAAGAAAAACAGTTTACCAAAAAAAAAAACAAAACCCTAGGCAATGAACCTTCGACTCTTGAAGGATTTTGGTTTTTCTTCTTTGCCGGTGCGGATTTCCTCCTCACTGTCGCCGATTTTCAGTCCGCCACCCGAACAGGAAAGTTTTCTTTCCCCCTCCCCCCCCTTCGTCTCTATTCCCCTGTCTTCCTCTTCATTGTGCAGATCTGAAATTTAGTATTTTTTGTTTGCAGATCTGCATTTGCCGCCGATTGCCTATCATCGCTGCAGAAAATTTTGTGTAACGAAATGGTAATTGAATATGTAATTCTGAAACTATATACATCACACTTCCTCTATTTTCCTCCTTTCAACGCGACTGGTGACATTATATTTTTGCAGATCTTGTTGCCTCTCGTCACGGCCGGTTGCATCTCATCACGCTGGTTCCCTCACGCGGCGTATCTCTGGTTCCCTCATGCGCAACCATTCTCTGATTTGTAGATTTTAGTAGACTTCTTATGGTTTTAATATACTTCTTAGGTCCAAGCACTGACGATATAATAGAAGCTTGTTTTATTTGCTCATCATGGACTCAGTATAATAGACTGATGTTGGGATATCTTGGGATCTACACTGGTTTCATTGTAGCACAGAAACTCAGTACACCCCCAACGGGTCAGCATGGCTAAATTAGTGGTGGATTTAGAAGCTTTTGAGAACTACCCATTGGGAAGAATAGGTTTTTAGAATATGATGGCTTCTGTGAAGGAAAAAAGTGGATTTAAGTAGGACTATTTCTATCGATAGATTTGTGCAAGCTCTCCAAGTGTGGATCTAATATGCTCCTCCAGAATATGCTGCTGAATTAGCTAACCCATTGCCAAATAACCCAACTCTTCTGCTGCTGGCTTACAAAGGATCAAGAGGCCAGAAGTACGTCAAAGAGAACATGCTAAAACAGGTAATTTTCTTTATACTTAGTAGATTTCACTAGTAGACTTCAAAAATAGATTTAATAGAATTCAATAGTAGAATTTACTAGTAGACTTTACTAGTAGACTTTATTCTTATTATTATGTGTTTTAATTTCTTTCTAGGTCCACATACATAACTGCGTTATAAAGAAATTAGACAATATGTTACCAGTGTGGGATGATGAGAAAGAAGATGTGGAGGTTCACAATGTTGTCAAAGCATAGTTTCAATAATCGTGGAAGAGGAGTAAAGAGAATTGGCTTCTTGTTGGTGCTCTGAAAGCAAACACTGTCAAGGCAGAGAAATCGATGGACAACAAAAGGAGATTCGTGTCAGAGATGAAGAAAGCCGAAAGAGGGCCTGCACAGACTCTGCATCTGTTGCCTTTCATATAGATCAGGATGGGGTCGGACTGGTTGCTACAATGAAAGCACACTTCGACCAATGCTTCAAAAGCTTCTCTATGAAGATGTTCAATGGTCTAACTGGTTGTGAAAAGCAGATCCAACTCCTTAGCGAGAAGGTAGAAAAAGTTGAGCAAGCCGTAGAGGTGGTGAAAGCCGCTTCGAGAAAGAATGTTTAAGAAGAGGAGCAGGTCAAAGACAATGAAGATTCTAAATCGAAACTCTCAAGCCATGAGAAGAATGTGGACGCCACCATCCCAGAGGAACAAGGGGTTAGACTCAAACCCTCTCAGAAAACACAAATATCATACATGAGAACAAGATCAAGGAAACAAAAACTGAAAATATAATGAAATAAACATGGACTATTTCTGAATTTGAGCATTTCTAATAATGATGTCTAGTGTGAGGACATGTTTATTTGTTTTCTCAATTTATGTTTCCAATTTCTAGACTTTGGTTTTATGTTTAGTGTTGACAATTATGTTAATAAATGTTTTGATGTTGTTGTTAGTTGTTGATACATACTTTTACACATTAATATGCAGAGTGATTTTGATAGAAAAAGCTGGTCCTGTTAAAGATAATATGAATGTTGGGATTAGTGAGAGTGTCAATGAAGCTGATGTTGTTAAAGAGAATCAGGACCCAAGTATTGTGCTCGTTGACCCAAAAGAGTGTGATGTTGATTTTGTCGGGATTCAGCTGGAGAAAGGCAAACAACTAAGAGAAGCAGCTCATATTGTGGCCCGGAGAAATAGTGAAAGGAGTCATAAGCTGGCTGCATCACAGAAGAGTTCATTTCCAAGGAAATAATAGCACCACAAAGAGAATCATTGCAAACCCAATAGTCCAAGATCATAGATATGATCCTTTTGACAATGCTGGTGTTAAGCAAACGCTGAAAGTGATACTTGATTTTTTGAAAGCAAACCCGTAAGTCACCACTTAGTTTTATTTTTTTAATATTTAGTTATCAAGAAACCCTTATCTCCTTTTTTACTAGCTATTTTTTTATAATGCATGGCCCAAACGTTCTAAATTATCTTCAATAGAATGGTATTAGATTCTGAGAACACCGACGAAATGACTAGCAGACTTGGTATATGTTTTCTAACTTGAGTCAAACTCTATACAACATTAGTAGACTTCATTTACAAACTTCATTAGTAGACTTCAGTTATAGACTTTGGTGAAAGAAAACCAGTTCTATGGAGTTCTTTCCGAACATCCAATGGATCACATTGAACTCTTTGAAGAAATCTGCAGTATGATGAGGACAAACCAAGTTCCAGCAGACTATTTAAAGTGTAAGTTGTTCCCTTTTTCATTAGCAGATAAAGCTCACTGTTGGTTGAAATCTTTGCCTGCAGGATCAATCACTAACTGAGAAGAATATAAAACTGCTTTTCTGAACCACTTCTATACTAAGTCAAGGTCGAACTTGCTGATAACCAAGATCTCAAGTTTTCAGCAAGGACCGGCTGATTTTTTCTATGAAGCCTAGGAGCGTTTTAAAGAGTATGAACGTGACTGCATTCACCATGGATTTCCCGGATCAAGCCTGCTGAGCACATTTTACAGAGGTTTGCAAACAAAATACAAACTTTCACTTGATACAGCCAGCAACAGAAATTTTGGACAAAAGACGACAGCGCAAGGAAGAGCCCTCATCGAAAATTTAGCTCAAGCCAATAGCAATGACTGTTCGGAATACGATCGATCGACAAAGCAGACTGGAACATATAACAAAGAGATAACCGAGTTGAAGAACATGATGAGCCAGCTTTTAAAAAGCCATAATCGCCCAATCCATGCTTGTGAGACAAAAAATGGCGTAGAAAACGAAGGACCTTGTGATACCGATCACACAAATCCAACCTTTCAAGAAGAAGAAGTGAACTATGTAGGAGCAAAAGCACCATATCTGAATCTCTTTAACAATGGTTTTAACAACAACTTCCGAAATGCAAACTACAACAATCTCTCTTACCGCAATCCAAATGTGGAGAATCCTCAAGACCAGCACTACCCCCCGCAGCAGAAACCCTTCCAAAATAAGTTCCACGGTGGAAATTTCGGAGGGACTGGAGTCTTTCAGCCGCGACAACCATACAACTATCAAGGTATGAGATTCAACAATCAATTTGGACAACAGCAGGGAGTTACAACAAACGAGCTAGCTTCACTAATCGGAAGACTTGAACAGTCTATCCAACAGCTTGTTATGACAAACGAGAAAGCAGCTAAAGACATGAACGTGAAAGTTGACTGCATGTACAATGATCTGAACGGGAAGTTTGAAGCTTTATCTTCTCACGTCAAAAAGCTAGACGTCCAAGTTACCCAAACAGCTGACTTTATGAAGAGACACAATGGAGCTATTCCCGGGAGAGTTGAAGACAACTCCAAGAGATTTTGCAATGCCATCACCACACTTCCCAAAGAAGGAGTTGAGACCAACTGGGTGTAGACTTTTTTGTCAATCTTGCCCTTATCAAAAATATCAATACTGTCTGAGCTAAAATATATATATGTTCCTCACCTAGAAAAATGTTAAATGAAGTTCACTAAGTATAACTTAAAATAACGATCTGAAGCTTAAGTGTAAGATCATATATCTATATTTATAAAGTGTTAACTATGTTTACCTTGTATTTCCGACAATATGTATTCGTTTATTAATCCCACGTCTGCATTTATCGGGCTGAGAATTGCTTTACCTTGAAAAAACTTTAGGTCTCTCTCCAATATGTATGAATCACCATACATTTCTCTTACTATCTCTTTAACATGATCAACCAATTCTTTTATCAGTAAATCATCAGGAATTTCAATTTTGGCTTCATTGTCGTCAAAAAATACATAGATCACTTGCTTATTGTTCTTTTTTATTGTTTTCAAAAGATATACGATTCATGAAGACATTCCTAAATTATTATGAATCCTTCCTGAATATTTAGGGAGGGATTCCCTAATTGAAAATTTAGACATCAATTCCAAAAGTTTAACAATCTGTAGTTTGGTCTGAAATTTAAATGTAAACAACTTATTTTAGTCTGAATCAGCATTGCAAACCTACTTGCTTCTCAATGGTATTCAATCATATTTATTCATCACAAAATATCATAGATCCGATCAAATCAAGAGAAAAGGTTGGTTAAACAACAAATACATAAACATTTCATACATTTGAAATCTTTAAGACATATTTAAAACGTGTGATCATTGAAGGTTTATTATTCAGGAAGACATTCCTAAACTATTACAAATTCTTTCCTGAAAATTAGGAAAGCCTTCCAGAATTGAAAATTCAATAAGGTTTCTTAATGCTTTAAGAAAGGTTTCCTAAAATCATCATAATAAACTTCTCACGGAAAGACTTGTCCATGTAAACATGTATAATTAAAACTGTCAAAAAAAGTCGATGATACAAAGATTAAAAGTTAAAACAAACTATTGAGACTTGTAGGTATATAAAACAATAAATACATAAACATTTTAAATGTATTTCTGAAGGTCTAATGATTCAGAAAGACATTCCTAAACCATCATGAATCATACCTGAATATTAGGGATGCCTTCCAGAATTGAGAATTCAGACCTGGATTTTGAATTTCTGACGATTTGCAGTTTGGAAAGAATTCCAAAATAATTTAAGATTCAAGAAAAAACAGATTTTTGCTGAAAACCTATAACTTGAGCACAAAAGTTTTCAAAACCCCTTAATTTTTCCCAAACCCCCATTTTTTTCCTTAAAATTTGAGATTTCGATTAAGGTTTTGAAGAAGTTGGAAAATTGTTTGAAGGAGATAAAGTTTTGATTAGCTCGATTTCTCAGAGCGAAGATTTGCTAACTACGATGATGATTCCGTCAAGTTCCAGATGAAATTCTGACAACGGTGGAAGTCGTGAGACGATCAATGAACGTTTTTGTGAGATTTTTAATTTCCATGGAGGAGGAAATAGAGTTAGAACTAATCGTGTTTGATGTTTTAACTCATGTTATATTTGTCTCTGTGAAAAAGAGGGTTTTTTTAGAAGATTTAGTTTTTTGGACCATTTTGAGAATTACTTTTTATTTAATGATAGCATATATAATTAAAAAAAAATCATTTACAATTTTCATATTTTGTTGTCATTTGTTTATTTTAATGTTTTATTTTTTCTAATCCAGATATTTTAAAATTTTGTTAAATATCAACAATTCAAAATTGTGGAAGTCACATATATGAATATATGTGTCTCTGTTCTGGCTTTTATTTTTGAAAAAAAAAATTAACTGTCCAACTATTTAATATTATTTAGTTTTTAATAGTTAATATATATATATATATATATCCACTAAGATATTTTGTTGTGGAATATTTTTGCATCAAAGGTATGCCACACAAGTAAGAAAACTTGACCAATTCAAATCAATTTAATTTGATTGGTGAAAAATTATTATAAAGATAATTTAAAGTTAATATCAGTATTCATTATGATGAACACAAGTGACAATGTCTTTATCAGCCCATAACCAATATAATAATCTAAACCCAAGTTTATCATTCCACGAGATATCATAACCAAGATATTATAAGATTATAATTATAATTATTATTATTGTTCGAAGGTTAAATAGAGAAATTGCGAAAATAACTTAAAATTTTATTTTAAATATATAAATAGATCATTTACTCAATACTAAGCAAGAGTAACCTAAAAATATAGGAAAATTACCATACTTAATGAACAAACAAAAAATAGAAATAACAATTAATCTTATAACTTTGTGAAGTCTCAAAATCCTATGAAATTTCCTATTTAGAATATTAAAATAAAAAACAAAAAAAAAATTGTAAAACAGAAAAGGGGAAAAAAATGTAAAAGGAAAATGTATTTAAAAGGGTTAGTCGGCTAAAATAATTTATTTTTTAAAACTAAAATTGATTTAATTGATAGTATTACAAAAAAAGATAAAGGAAAAGGAAATTTGTTTAATAGAAAAGGAAAAAAAATCATGTAAAACAAAATTTTTTTTTAATGATTTATTTGCAATTACGTGTTGGATCCATTTAAAGATATGATTGCAAAAATTGGAATCAGTGACCTGTAGAAAAAAATGTTTATTATTACAATATTACATGTAAATTCTTAAAGAACTTTGGGGGATGAAGCCTAAAAGAATAGAACAACAAAAGCATACGTTAATAATTACAATAAATAGGACATGACGAAAAGTATGATCATAATGTGCATAGCTAGCCGAAAGAAACAACTAATTAAAGTGACGAAAACCAAAATTAAAATCAATTTATATTGATATTAGCATTAAAGCTGAACATCTAAATAGGAAAAAAAACAGAGCAACACCTAAAGAATACCAAGAGGTTATTAATATATATATGTAGAACTAAACATATACATATAAGAAGAAGAATATTATGTGTCTTTTTAATTTATTTTGATAGGTCTAGGTTTGTACACGTAGGATTAATGATAGACTTATCAAAATGAATTAAAACATCACATTATATTTTTTCATTAATACCACATCGGAGTATCGTTGTGATGATGACACATAAAATTTTTAACCTTATAAATAATAATATAGATAATGCCACATATTACAATTGCTGTGATGATGACACATATGATTTTTAACCTCATAAATAATTATATAAACTTACGACTTACGAGGACATATACAATCATCAAAGTGGAAAAATTAAGCATCTATGATGCTAGGACCATAAAGAAGAATCGAGAATCTTATATCCCCGCCAAATAACTTGAAGAATCTTCTCCTTCTTACTCTTCTCCCTATCTTGGTAATATATCCGACCAAATAAATGCTGACACGAACTCAACTTGTGTTAATCAGTACCAATATCTTCACAATAAAAACTTGTTTCCTATTTTTTGTAGAATAGAAATTAACCCGCACATTGTGCGGGGTAATGATTTTTAAATTGTCTTTAAATTTAATTTTGATTAATTTTGGGTTAAATTTTAAAATTGAGGGGGAAAAAACACCTTTAACAAAAAATATAAATAAATAAAATTGATGATAATTAGATAACAATACATATATGAATATTACACAACCGATATATACTTGTATATATATCTATCGAATAAGAGTTTGAGCTAGTTTTGTTATGCGGTTTAATTATTAGTAGTTTTAAATATGAAAGTGATATGATGTTAATATATATATATCAATATGGATTAGAATCTAAATATATATTTATAATAGAATTTAATTGTAAATATTTTATTAGAGATCAAACTATCATTTTTAGTTAATAAATTCTATAATTTATGTTAATAGTAATTATATATGGGATTGTCAAAGTGGACAAACCCATCTACTCAATCTATTTCGTAATTTACTAAAATATTTTTTCGACAAACCCGTAAAATTATAATTTAAATTTTGAAAACATATTTCAGTTTTTTTTTTATAAAATAATTGAATTGAGTTTCGAAAATGATATTCATCAATTATGAAATACAAATGAAAAATATTTCAAAAGTATAAATAGATTTTTTATATATATAGA